CAAATGCCTAGGCTTGCATTCTTCAAAGTCCTTTTCACAGAACAAACCCACTTCTTGGGTTGTACATATGTTTGTGAAAAGAAAAATTACACAAATGTTTTGAGTTTGATTTTCTTTGCTTTCAATCACTGTCACCCAGCCAATTCTTAAGCCAGTGGCAGAAATCTAATACAATGAGATGTCAAATATACTTTAAAAAATCTTATAGCTCTCCTATTCAGTTTCACAGTCAAATTAACTTATTCTTAAACTTCAGTGTGGACACTTTTTGCCAGCTTCCTTTTTGGTTATATGTTCCACACATTGAAAAATATACCTGACTCTGTAATAGCCTCAGACAAAAAGAAAGAATATCCTTACGAGAGTATGATTTGAACTGCTTTCTTTTTGAAAATGATCCATTGAACCCAAACCAGCTCCATATACCCCATTTGTTTAATGAATCAAATAGTTTATTAGATTCTGTATGGAAAGTCTGCCTGCATAAATCAGTGATATTTATGTAAATGAATAACATATTTAGTAAGCAACATATTTATGCCTTTAGGAATATATGAAGCTACCATACGGAAATTCATCCGCTATGTCATACCTCTGTGTCACTGGTTATTTATAAACAACTAATAATCAAGGAAACAATATTGTCTTATGATGTAATGTCAACTAACAGACACAAATACAAAACACAGTGTTTCAAACTATACACTAGTGTTCCATCATACACTATATGCCTCTTTCACTGAAGTGCAACTAAGAACTCTATGCTTTCATATCAAAGACTGACAATGGCTCCTGTTTTCTTCTAAATTCAGGCCAATCTGAATAGAAAAAACTTCTATTCCTCTCAGTGTCCTCCTCATTCAATCCCCCTTGAATGTTGTCAGATTTGAAAAGACTCCTGTCTCAAGGATTGGCCTGACGTAGCAAAATGTTTGCAGGACTATAGTTCAGACACTGTGCTGAACCAGGATTTAGTGGTAGAGCAACATTTGGCATGCAGAAGGTTTAGAGGTTAGTCTCTCCCAGTATGGCTGGAAAAGGCTTCTACCTGAAGCCCCAGACAGCCACTGCTAGTGGCTCAGTGAAAGACAAATTCCTATGTTCTTGTTGCACCAAAATTGTCCACAGAGCACAAAGTGAATGAAAGGTTCAGGTTCTTTTCCCGGGCATGTGATTCCACTTGGAATCTGCTTATCTATCCATGCAGTGTCTGATTTCTAGACTGAGCAAATTTAATTTGTCAACAAAATGTTGTGAAAACACGATTTAAGTGGGAGAGATGCTAAGGCAAAGGATTTAATGCAGTTCTTTTCAGCTGCAAACTGAATCAGCTGTATCCTTTGTTGTGAAATGGGAACTTAAATTGCCCTAGCTGCACAATGAAATATTATTTCACCTGATACACACTGCACACACAAGAGGAAGAAAAAGATCCAAGAAAAAAGTAGTTTTTCTTAAATTTAGAAAACATGTCTTTATGACATAGCCGTTTTTTTAAAAAATGAGGTACACTGATTTTTATGCAAAGTGGCATGTTCACACTAGCAGTAATTAAAACAGCTAAAACAATAGTATTTTAATATGGACAAAATGGTTTTCCATGTAAGGATTTCAAACAACTTGCAGTGCCATAACTAACATTTCAATATAGGTTCAGCCTGCTGACAGTGGCATAGTTATATAGCATTACTGAAAAGAGGTAAATTGTGACAAGATTAGCAGCAATTCCTATATTTAATGTTATTTAAAAATCAAAGTGTTACCTAAGGCAATTATCTTGCAGTCTTTAATATCTACAGGGAAAAGCCTGAGGGGAAAATAACTGACTTTGCTAATTTTACCCTTGGCAATTATAAAATAGTTCTGCATTTCATTATAAGCACAAATTTTCACATCTAATTGTCAGCCTTGATAGAAACACAGGGGTAAAAACATGATACAAAAGCTCAAGACAATTGGAGTAACATTATGATAGAAATGGTGTGGAGCTAATGGTGCAAAAATAAAGCTAGAAATTTTGGATATAAGTTACACTACATACAACAATTTTAATTGCTGTGCAAGTATATGCTTTCTCAATCATTGTCGTCTTTCACGGCTTGAACTGCTAACTATATTTTACGCACATTATTTTAAGCTCTTGTTAAAGTACTGTACAAATGGCCAGAGGTCTTGTAGATTCGAAAGGATAGTAACTACTTCATGGAAGGCAGTCAGCTGCAAGTTTTTGGAATTCAACAAAGCAGTCCACACAATCTAATTAATAATATGTTGTAGCAATTCGCTACACAAGAAGGGTTAGAACTCAATGGGACTCACTTAAGAGGTAAATGAAGTTCAAAATAACAAAACAGCTAATTTCTATGTAAGCATGATACAATTGCAGAGCCAGTGACTACTGTTCTGTGTCTGTTCTCCTGGCTACCTGCTGAAACCAAGGACTCTTAACTGGAGAGGAGATGGCTCCATCCACTCTTTAACAAGAAGCATCCAGGGAACACAAATCAAACTGAAAAAAGCAAGCAGAGTACCAAAAAAAAAAAAAACAACCCAGAAATTTCAAGTACTGTGTGATTTTGGACTCACAACCATCTGTGATTCAAGACACTTCAATCTTCCACCAGAAGTGTCTGGCACTGACTTGTCTATCAGGCAAAGTACTTATTTACTGAAATCCTGTTTTGTAGCTCCATGCGGAGCAGCAGCAGCAGAATCAGCCTGCTTCTAAATAAATAAAGGCTTCCTTTGGTGATTCAAGGTGTCTTTAACTTTGTTGCATTGTATGAGTAACATGAGTCACATGCACTGTAAAATCACTACAAGAAGCCTTTAATCAGTAGGGAATTGCTATTGCTGCAGCTGCTGCCACTGCCGCCAGCACTCCCGCTGTGCACATGGAGCTGAGCAACAGGATTTTAGCCATTGAACTATTTGGATTTTTACAGTGCAATCTTGCATTTTTGCACTCAGAAATAAGCTTCATAGAATTCAGTGGGGTATATTACTAGGATTACAGTCAGCAGAGGCTTTATGGACTTATTCAAGAAACATAATCATGAAATTCAATGAAGTATCATAAAGTTACATGAAGTTACATTAGCTGTAACCTCATTTTACAATGAAGAAATAGAATGTTGCTTTATGGATTTTTATACATTTTTAAAAAAATGTACACTCAAAATGTAAAACAACCCCAACCCTCATACTTCTCAGAATAATATCAAATCAAGTCACTGTATCTGTCAAGAATTTTTACAGCTTATATTCCAACTGTTCCAGCTTTTAAGATGCAAAAGAGAATGAGTTGATTAAAAATTGGTTCTATTCCATTATTGCATATAGGAGGTTTTAAAGTATTCAGGTGTCAAAAATGTGGGAAAGTGTTAACAAGTTTTGGCAGAACTTTCAGACATGTAGCTTAATTGCTTAAGAAATCAAACATTTCCTTTAGGCTTCTGTGTTTCAAAGTACAGTATTGTAGATTGAATTTGTTGCAAGCCTTGAATAATTACAAGGCCTAAATTCTCAAAAGCAGAGTACTGTAACAACTTTTCAATCACTTCTTCAGGGGACAAGAAAGGAGCGCCTCCCAAATAGTGTAAGGACTGAGGACACATTTGGGCATCCCCTGGGCAATAACGGCACCTTGTTGTTTGATCCTTCCACTCCAAAAGCATTGTTGTACTACTTCTGACAAGAACAAAGAAGGAGATCACTGAACACAACAGGGAATTATTTATGCCTACTCTCCTTTGATTTTAAATAAACATTTTATAAAGGGTCTGGCCACACAATTCATATAAGTATGCATGTGACTAGGGTGTGCCCTTTTTTAAGGTCCAGCTCCTAGAGTTCTCTAAGAATTCCCCAAGTAGAATTCTGATCGTTGCTATCCACAGACACCTCCACAAAAATATATTTTACTTACCTGGAACAAAGTCTATCTTCCAGGCTGTCTTGGGCGTACTTCCCATTAAAAAAAACCCTGCCCCAGTATTTCCTGGGAGGTGTAGTCTTGATGCCCATTAGGCTTTATATAGGGCATCCCTGAAGAACGAAGTCCTAGACCTCCCAGAAAACACTGGGGTGCTTTCTATTTGTACAGGAAGTAGACTTGAGGAAGCATAATAGGGCTTGTTCCAGGTGAGTGAAATGTAGGGGTGTGTCTATGACCATTCTGCCTTGGGAATTCCTGGAGTATTATGAGACCAAAAAACTCTACAACACACACACACACACAAATGTGCTCCCTGGTGTTGATAGGATGTGTTTGCAGCCAATATATGCTCTCTGTTGTCATAGAAAGTGCTTTTTTTCCTCAGAAGAATTGTTGCTGGCTACTATCAATGATCAAACAGTCAAGCCACACATATATCCCTATATGAAAAGCACCCAGGCCTGGATTAGCAAAAGCTAGAGGGGAAAGTACTATATGTCACAACCTGAAGTTTCCTAAGCAAAAGGAGAAACTTAATAACACAAACGGCAAACCTGTATGAAGCATTAATACTAATATTTAAAAGGGAAGTATTGTTGAATTTGATGGCTGTTGTGGGTTTTTCGCCAGTCAGGAAAAAGAACAACCTTCAGAAAATGGCCAAAGAGCCCGAAAAACCCACAACAACCATCAGATCCCAGCTGTGAAAGCCTTTGAGAATATATTGTTGAATTTTACTGAACAATTATCAGTTTACCCTAATTCATTGTTTCCTTTCATAGTGGACATTTGCTAGTGACTTCTTCAGGAGTATATATGATAACAGAGAATTAATTTTTGCACACATTTTACATACTCAATTCATTTGACATAGTTGACATTTCATATCTGGTAACATTTCAGACAACTGGGCCGCATGCACAGCGTTAGATGACATCTAATGCCTCAAGGGGCATGAATTTCTAACAAAATTAACTAATAAAAGACAGCAGGAGAGAAATCTCCTGAAATAAAACACAAGCAAAGCTTATACTTCCTTTTAAAGCAAAAGTAGTAATATTACCTTAGTATTTTGCAACTGAGCAAGGTTTGTGCAGGCATTTGCTAGAAGAAAATCACCGCTTAGAACAGCCATTTTATTTCCAAATTGCATGTCCTTCAATGAGTCATCAGAGGATGTCAGTTCACCAATATTCACAATCCCACGGTGTACCAGGAAAGCTGTGTAGATCAACTCTGTAATCTCAGCCAGAGTGCGTTGGCTTTAAAGCAAAATATCATAAACTATTCAGTCAGTTGCAAAACAAGTATATAATCTGCAAGTCTTCTAGAGATAAATGCCAAAACATGCAACAGGAAAGGGAGGGTCGTGGATTACTTAGCCATACAAACCTAAAATTCAGTGCTATTGTCAGCATTCCATTTGGAGCCTATCCTGCACAACTGCTGCCATCAATACTTTGCATATATTTACTAGGGGCCTTAAATCATAATATGGTGTTTTAAAAAGAAATTAATATATACACTTTTTCTCTTTTCTTCAGAAGTGCAATATTAATTCTAGTAAGTGTCATTAACTGCATACCCTCATAACCTCTGGTCTAAAGAAGGGTAAATATATTCTAAAGGGGGGAAGTGGAGAGAGGGGGTGAGAGGGAGAAAGAGAGAAAACTAACAAGACATCCTCATGTTCCTGCTGTCATTGTCAGGGAAGCCCTTAGAGGAAAATGCCCGTATCAATTCAGTTTATCAGATAGACAGCTGATCAACATTAAACAGACTTGCTCTGGGCAGACTGAGCAGAGATACCAGACATGAATACCAATGAGAGCCCTCTGCTCTCAACAATCCTGGTCTGCCATTTCTGACTTCTAGAGATCTCAGGACATCTGGGAATCCCTAGTGAGGAGCACTGTAAAGCTGCTGCTTACTCAAGTGATGGCTCATTTCCTCCAGCTGAAGGCAGCACATATTAATATCCTGAGGACATCAAACTCTTCTCTCCTGCCCACCCCCCCCAAACAACCTCAGCCCCAGCCACTGAAGCAAAATCATTAGTATTCTCGTAAGCCTTTAAAGAAGGGAACAAACATTCTTTCTGTAAAGCTCGCCCTGAAAAGGTTACACAAACACCTTAGTGGCATCATTTCCAAGTCTTCTTTTCCATTTCCCTCTATTTGCTCTTCAAACAGCACCTATATCATTAAGCCAACTACACTAGAACTATACTTCACACATCTACCCTGATTTCCCCTAAAATAAGACCTAACGTGAAAATAAGCCCTAGTATGATGTTTCAGGATGCTCATAAGATAAGCCCCACTCCAAAAATAAGCACCAGTTAAGTGAAACCCCCGCCTTCCACCATTGTGCAACAACCAGAATAAGATGGCATGACTGTATTTGAATAGACACAGATTGTTGTACAACAACAACAAAATCATCTGAAAATAAGCCCTCATGCGTTTTTGGGAACAAAAATTAATATAAGACCTTGTCTTATTTTTGGGGAAACAGGGTAGTACATTCATTGAAAAGAATACTGCAGGATGTCTTCAGACACTGCATACTTAATTTTTCACTATAATAACACACCATTTCAGGTAATGTCTGCCTTCACAAACTAGCTCTAGGCGTTTTACAAGCATTCAGAGTCCTCCAAGAAGACATTAGAAGAGCAGACTTTTAAGCAGTCTCAATTCTCAGATAAGTTTGCAAGGGAAAACACACTTTCCACACAAATCTTGGAGTGCTTAAGCAGTAATTATTAATTAGCATCTAATCTACAAGAGATTATTGAGCAATGCCCCCTTTTAAAAATGCATCTCCCAACAAATAATAAAGTATGCTTAAAAATATCAAGGTTATGAGAGAACATACTTCATTTACTGTGAGAGAGGCTCCCTAAAATTACTGAGAGAAGACATGTGCAGTATTCTTCAGTGCTACAATGATCCTGACCTCATCTTGCAGCCTAGTCCAATGCAAGGGGATGACAGAAAAATTAGCCTCAGACAGCTTCATTCCTCTCCTCTCAAAAATCTAGCATACAGTTGGCACTACAGAGCTCACAAACAGCATACTCAGGGCACAACTAACAATTAGGAGACAACTGAACCCTCCATCTCTCGGAAGAACAGCATGGCAAGGAAGAAACTAAACTGGCCCCATCCAACCACCCGTGAAAGAACAACCGTGAAGGGAGCTTGCTTTATCCCTTCCATGTCAGACAGTTGACCTATAACAGTGATGGCAAAAGTTTTTGGGCCCGAGTGCCCAAACTGGGGAAGGAAAGAAAAAAAAACAGTGGGCAGCAGTGGAAGCAGAAGTGGTGGCAGAAAGGAGAATCCTGGACACGGAGGTGCCTCAGGATGCCCAAACTGGGGAAGGAAAGAAAAAAAACAACAACAGTGGGCAGCAGCGGAAGCAGAAGTGGTGGCACAAGGGAGAATCCTGGGCACGGAGGTGCCTCAGGACCCCACTCGGGAATTGCCACCAGTGCTAGCTGATCCAGATCCTAGTCCTGTCGGGGCGCCAGCACCGTGGCTGCAGCTGTCTTCTCAGGTTTGGCCGCGGGGAGGGGGAGTAGCAATCCGGCAACTTAGAGCTCTGCGTGCCAGCTGTGGCACGTGTGCCATAGGTTCGCCAATGCTGACCTATAAGAACATCCATAAGAACTAGTGGTGCCAGCTGAGTTTTCTCTTTCTCTCTTTCTCTCTTAATCTTTTTTTCTTTTTATATCATGTCTCTGAACCTGTAGAGCTGTTGGATTGTATTACCATTACTATTATCATCACCACCATTACCATTACTGTTTGCTAAAGAGCAGGGCAAAAACTCTTCAAGAAAATAAATATTAAACATATGTTTATTCTGAAGATGTACTCACTGTACAGTATTTGTGTGTGTGTTCTTTACTGTCAAGTCAGAACCGATTTACATCAACCCTAGTAGGGCTTTTGAGATAAGTGAGATATTTAAGGAGTGGTTTTACTTGTTCCACTCTCCTAGTGAGTTTCCACGGCCATGCGGGAATTCAGACCCTGTTCTCCAGAGTCCTAGCCTCTCACTGTGTCCACTACACTACACTGGGCATCCTCTCACTGTATTTAGTGGAGCTTAATTCCAAACACATGAGCACAGGATTGCAGTTTTGCTCAATTACTATTTCCTGGATAAATCAATACATATTACTTGTGGGTACAAAAATAATTTCAGATAAAACAGATGCATGTTGCCAAATGATCAGGAAGCATTTTACAGAACTGCAGCATTATGAAAGAAGCAGTCAGAATTATCAAAAGCTGTTGCCTAGAGTAATAGATATACACATTTGTTAGCTGACTGGTGTTCATCTATGTAACATATGGTACATGAAGAGAAGAATGTCTGAGCATGTGCAGAATTCCTTTACTTTATCACAACTAACTCCCACAGACCTTTTGTTGGATGCTCAGCCATTTGCTGACGCTGAATAGTTCTGAGGCAGCCTTCTGCCCTTATCACCTTTTTAAAATTCATTATTGTTCCTAACATTAGCAATACTTTTTACTTTCCTTTGTTTTAATCCATTTTAAACAGATGGTAGCATGCTAGACATTATGAAATCACAGGTGTGATTCCTGAACATTAATTACACAGGCAAAAATCTGACAAAAATATACTACACCCCATTATCTAATAGTGGGACAACACTGGCAGTTATACACACAGAGCAGCCAAATGTAGCACTGGCATAGAAGAGAAGAAAAATAAAAAAAAAATAAATTTACATTTTTAACATATGAGTATTCCTCCCAGTTTCTGAATAGTTCTGCTATCTCTCCCTTTGTGCTGAGGGACACTCCATCTGTACTACCTATTTTAACATGGTAAAGACAAGGCAGATGGCTGGATAGCTCAGTGACTTATGTACCTCGCTGCAGAGCCAGAGGCTGCAAGTTTAATGCCCCTCTGTGCCTGTCACAAAAAAAGCCAGCCTGTGTAGCCTCAGGCCAGCTGCACAGTCCCAGGGTGCCCTCAGAAGAAGGAAACAGGAAACCACTTCTGAGTACTCTCCTAGAAAACCCTGGAAAGGGTTGCCATTAGTCAGAGTTGATGGCATGTAATTATTATTATTATAGACAAGGCAACCAGTAACCTGTGCTGTGCTATGGTGCTGGAGGAGACTCTTGAGAGTCCCCTGGACTTCAAAGAGAACAAATCTCTTTGAAGGGGTTTTCTGCTTTAAATGAGCATGTCATGGTAGCCTTCTCCTCTGCAAGGAATCTGTCCCTTGGGCTGCAGAGTAAAACCTGTCCATTAACACAAAACATATGAGCTGAAGATATGTCCATGGGATCTGTATCAAATATAGTAGGACTGCAGTATGGGGGGGGGGATCAGTTCTAAGTCTGCCACCCGCAGATGCCAAAAAAAACATGCAAGTATCAAATGCTATACATTGCATGGTCTCTGACTTCCTCAAGTGGCCAGTTCTCGTAAATACACCCTGGAAATACGTATAAACACACTTCCAATTTTTTTTACTTAGTATTTTCAGGCAGCTAATAAATAAACCAGCAGATCCCGATCCCGCGGATAGAGGGGTTCTACCGTACTGCATCCAAGTCAGAGCAGAACTAAACAACTCTGTCTGTAAAATTGCTGTGCAAAGTCAGCATAGGAGACTGCTGAGTAATCAGCACCTTCTTATTGTGGGTTAGCATGTACTAAGCCCTTGACCACTCAAACAGCCCTGCTGGAAAGCTCTGGACAGAGACAATGGCAGCAGAGAAGAAGAGTTACTTCACTGACACCACTGCCAGAGAGTAGGCCTTTAAATGAGCTCTAGCTTGTGTTTCATCAGATTTGCTCTGTTTTCTGCCTTTTTAACTCTAGTCTCTGTCTCACTTGTTTCACTGCCTCTGTCTCGCTAGTAAACTGGGGACTAATTCGGCTCCATTCCTTGGGATACAACACTTGAGAGGGACTATGTCCACCTTATTTTTAACACGTCCAGTATAAAAATATTTTGCTGTACCTGATATATAATTTCCAACTATACCTGATATATAATTTCCAACAGATGCTCTAAGTTATTTTTTTGAAATAATACATCAAAACCCACAAAATGCCTGCATGTTCACATATGCTTAGTTGGTTTTGCATAGGATTTATTCTTGATAGGAAAACTTCACTTTGACCTCGTGGAGCAGTGGTTAAACTGCTGTACTGCAGCGAAAACTGGGCTCACAACCCGGGATTCAATCCCAGGTAGCCG